AGCTGGTGAGCTTGAACCACAGACCTTGCAGTTCAAATGACTTTGCAGTCTGATGCATTATCCTACAGCGCCACACCAGTATCATAGCAACACACAAATTTCCACTGGCTGATGAGTGCTGGATGTGCTTGAGGTCCATTTGTGGCAACTGAACCCAGGCCTGCCACATGGAAGACAGAAATTCTACCATTGTTGTTGTCTAGGTTGTTAGGTGCCGTCAAATCAGTTCCAACTTGTTGTGCTCTTACACACAGCAATTCTTTGAGCTTGAGAAATGCTGAGTGTGTTCTTCATTTTTAGTTTTCTAGCTCCAGGACTTTGCACATTTCAGTATACTTAACTTTGTCTTCTTAAACTTTTCTATTCTGTCCTTTTACTTCCTAATTTCACTTTAACATCTCTATGTTCAAGAGCAAGTTTCAAAGTCTCTTTTGACATCCATTTTGGGCTTCTCTTTCATTACTGTCTTTTTAATGACCTTTTGCTTTCTTCCTGTATGATGCTCTTGATATCATCCCACAACTCTAATGCATCAAATGTCTAATGCATCAAATCGGTTCTTGAAGTGGTCTCTAAATTAAGGTGGGATATGTTTAAGGTCACATTTTGGCTCTCATGAACTTTTAATTATCTTTAGCTTCAGCCTGAACTAGCATGTAAGCAATTGATGGCCTGTTCCACTGTCTGCCCCTGGCTTTGTTTCAGCTGATGATATTGACCTTTTCTACCATCTCTTCTCACAGATTTAGTCAATTTGATTTCTCTGTGTTCCATCTGGTGAGATCCATGTGTATGGTCATCTTTTATGTTGTTTTAAAAATGTATTGGCAATGAATAAATCATTGGTATTGCAAAATTCTTCCTCAGTCTGTAACCCCAGCTGAAGCCTGACCACCATTGGCAACCTTGCTGGTATTTCGAATATCAGTGGCATCAAGTTGTTGTTAGGTGCCATCAAGTCAGTACTGACTCATAGCAACCCTATGCACTACAGAATGAAACACTGCCCTATCCTGGGCCAACCTCACAATTGTTGCCACACTTGAGCCCATTGTTCTCCAGTATTCTTTCTATGACCACTGCTATATTTTTCAACTATTGATCCTTGTCTTCATTTCCAACCTTTGTATTCCAATCGCCAGTAATTATTAATGCATTTTGATTTCGTGTTTGATCCACTTCAGACTAAAGAAATTGATAAAATTCCTTAATTTCACCATCACTAACTATAGTGGTTGGTACATAAATTTGAATAATAGTTGTATTAACTGATTTTCCTTATAGGTGTTATATCCTATCACATGCTATATTGCACTTCAAGACAGATCTTAAAATGTTCTTTTTGATGATGAATGCAATGGCATTCCTCTTTAGTTTATTGTTCTTGGCATAGTAAGCAGTATGATTGTCAGATTAAAAATGACCAATACCAGTCCATTTCAGCTTACTAATATTTAGAATATCAGTCTTTACTCTTTCCATTTCATTTTTGACAACTTCCAATTTTCCTAGATTCATACTTTGTACATTTCATGCTGCAATTATTAATGGATGTTTGCAACCATTACTCCCCATTTTGAATTGTGTCCCATCAGCAAATTAAGTTCCTGAAAGCTTTACTCCATGCACGTCATCATGGTCAACTCTACTTTGAAGAGGTAGCTCTTCCCCAGTTGTGTTTTGAGTGCCTTCCAACCTGAAGGGCTCATCTTTCAGCACTATATCTGACAATGCTCTGCTGCTATTCGTAATATTTTCATCTTCAGAAAATATATCTGATAATGTCCCCCTGCTATTCATAAGATTTTCAGTGGCCAAAGATTCAGAAGTAGTCCTCCTCTCCTTATTCCTGTCTTCCTCAGTCTGTAACCCCAGCTGAAGCCTGACCACCACTGGCAACCTTGCTGGTATTTTGAATATCAGTGGCATCAAGTTGTTGTTAGGTGCCATCAAGTCAGTACTGACTCATAGCAACCCTATGCACTACGGAATGAAACACTGCCCTATCCTGGGCCAACCTCACAATTGTTGCCACACTTGAACCCATTGATGGTGCCACTTTGCCAATCCATCTCGCTGAAGTTCTTCCTCTTTTTCTCTGACCCTCCACCTTACCAAGCATGCTATCCTTCTCCAGCTACTAGTCTCTCCTGACAATATGTCAGAAGTATGAGAGATGAAGTTTGGCCATCCTGGCCGCCAAGGAGCACTCTGGCTGTACTTCTTCGAACACAGATCTTTTGGTTCTTTTGGCATCTCACAGCACTTTCAATATTCTCCTCCAACACCATAACTAAAAATCATCAGTTCTTCTAAAGTCTTCCTTATTCACTGTCCAACTTTCACATGCATATAAGGTTATTGAAAATACCATGGCTTGGGTCAGGTCCTCAAGCAAAGAGCTGACATCTTTGCTCTTCAACACTTTAAAAAGGTCTGTGCAGGACATTTGCCTAATGCAATACATCCTATGATTTCTTGACTGCTGCTTCCATGAATGTTGATAGTTGATCCAAGAAGAATGAAGTCCTTCATAACTTAAATCTTTTCTCCACTGATAAGAATGTTGTTTATTGGTCCAGTGGGAGGATTTTTGTTTTCTTTACATTGAGATGTAATCCATACCAAAAGCTGTGCTCTTTGATCTTCATCAGTAAATATTTTAAGTCTTCTTCACTTTCAGCAAGCAAGGTTGTATCATCTGCATATCACAGGTTGTTAATGAGTCTTCCTCCAATCCTGATGCCACATTTTTCTTCATGTAACCCAGCTTCTCGGATGATTTGCTCAGCATATAGGCTAAATAAGTATGGTGAAAGAATACAACTCTGTCGCACACCTTTTTTAATTTTAAACCGTTCAGTGTTCCCATGTTCTGTTTGAACAACTGCCTCTTGGTTCATGTACAGATTCTTCATGAGCACAATTAAGTGTTCTGTGAGGGAAAGAGTCACTTTCCCTGGCAGCTCAGGACCATGATCTCCAGGGACACTAGGTTGATTGGCACAGCATAGGCCATAAAGAAAATATTGTACATCCTACTTTTAGTAAGTTGCTACTGGGATCTTGATAGATTATGAGCAGCCATCTCATGTACAACTATTGGTTTCTCCCCCTTGGGAGCAAAGAGTGAAGGAAATCAAAGGTGCATGGAAACAATTAGCCTAGTGAACTGAACTAATGGATCACATGAACACCATCTCCACAGCCCTGAAACCAGAAGAACTAGATAGTGCCCAACTATCACTATCAACTGCTCTGAAAGGAATCATAATAGAAGGTCCTGGACAGAGTGGGAGAAAAATGTGGAATAAAACTGAAAATCATTAAAAAAAACACCAGACTTGGTGGAACCCCCTAGATTATGACCCTTAGCCACCCTTCAAGTCCAAAACTCGATATAAATGGAGAAAATATTGAAGTTGTCAAAGACTTCATTTTGCTCAGATCAACCATCAACACTCATGGAAGCCGTAGTCAAGAAATCAAACAGTGTATTTCATTGGCCAAACCTGTGGCACAAGGCCTCTTTAAAGTATTGGAGAACAAAGATGTCAGCTTGAGAACTAAGGTGCTCCTGACCCAAGCCATGGCATTTAATAATCTCATATGCATGTGAAAAGTTGGACAGTGAATAAAGAATTGATGTAGAAGAATTGATGCAGTAGTGGTATGGTGTTGAAGGAGAATATTGAAAGTACCATGGACTGTCAAAAGAACAAATAGATCTGTGCTGAAAGAAATACAGCCGGAGTGCTCCTTGGAAGCCAGCATGGCCAGACTTCATCTCTCACACTTCAGACACATTGTCAGGAGGGACCAGGCCCTTGAGAAGAATACCATTTTTGGTAAAGTAGAGGATCAGAGAAAAAGAGGAAGACCCCCAGCATGATGAATTGGCACAATGGCAGCAGCAATGGGCTCAAACGTAGCAATGATTGTGAGGTTGGCCCAGGACTGGGTAGTGTTTTGTTCTGTTGTACATAGGGTCTCTATGAGTTGGAACTGACTTGATGACACCTAATAACAACAGTAACAAGTCTAGAACTGAACTCACACCCATGATTCAATTTTCAACCTAATAATAGATGGGTCTATAGAGGGCACAGTAACATTGGGGAGATACGCAAACCTTATTATAATCAACTATTTGACATCAAAAGGACAGCATTTACCCAAGGACAAGTTCAGAATTGTTTGGAGGAAGGGAAACATAATAGAGAGGAAGTGGGATAAACCATGTTACTTTATGGGGATTGCAGTCATACACAACAAAATGTGTTTGAACTGTAAAATGAAATACTGATTTGCTCTGTAAATCTTCAAACAATTCACAAGAAAAAGTTTAAAAAAATTCTATCACTGAGCGACCATTGCCTTTCCAATACATATTAGCTATATCTTTTTCATATAACTTCTGTCTGAAATAGTTCATACATTCGGTCACTTCTTTACTTGTCTCCCTCTGGTAGAAAAAAAGTTTCACACGATCAGAGAGGCATCTTGTCTAAATCTTGTTCGTTGCTATATCCTCAGTACTTGAAAAAAGCTTCTCACATAGTGGATGGTTAATAAATACTGTTTGCCTAGATAAAAACAATTTTAATAAGATATGAAAGCGGGTGGCTAACTGTATTGAAAACAAAAGAGTATAAGCTGGTAACAAAGATCTTTGATAGTATGATTATGTTTGCAAGAAAGACTTTTAACCTCCTTTAAATTCTAGTTGTTGTTAAGTGCCATCAAGTCAGTTCTGACTCAGAACAACCCAAGGAGCAGCTGCTGGGTTTGAACTGCCAACCTTGTGATTATCCAGTGCTTATCCTACAGTGAGTGCCACACCAGGAGTCCCATGTTTATCAGAGCAGCTTCTTCTCTTTACTGTCCTTTTGGAAAGAATATGTGAATTATGTAAATTCATCTAAAAAAAAAAAAAAAAAGCGTATACGTCATGAAATCTGTGTCCTGCTACATAAATAGGTAATCTTCTTTCCCCCCAGTTCAGAAGAACACTCATTACATGATGATCTTTGATGCTTTTGTCATCCTGACCTGCTTGGCTTCACTAATTCTCTGCGTTCGATCTGTGATCAGAGGACTTCAGCTTCAGCAGGTAGGGGCTTGGGTTTCCTAAATGCTACTGACATTTTGATTGACAGAGGATCTCATTACAGCTCTCCTCTCTTTTCCCTAAAGGAATTTGTCCATTTTTTCCTCATTCGTTATAAAAAAGAAGTTTCTGTTTCTGATCAAATGGAATTTGTCAATAGATGGTACATCATGATTATTATTAGTGATATATTGACAATCATTGGATCAATTCTGAAAATGGAAATTCAAGCTAAGGTACTTCAAGGCACAGTCCTTGGACATCGTTTTTCTGTCTACATTGTCTCTAATCAGTGACTTTAAATAGCACCCATATGTCAATGACCCCCAAATCTTTATCTGCAGCTTGATAGTGTCCTCTCAAATATACAACTGCCTATTCTACGTCTCCACTTTGATGTCTAAAACAGAATTCCTAGAATCCCTACACCCACGGTCTGATAGCCTTTGTAATTGCAATTAATGACAACTCTTTTCAGCTTCTCAAGCCAAAAAAAAGCATCGATTCATCCTTGACTCCTCTCTTTCTCTAATATTCCCTCTTCATATCTAATCCAAGAGGAAATATTGTTTGTCTGTCTTCAAAATTCACCTCATCACCTCCTGGGAACCAATCCATTCCCAGGTTGGTTTCAAGCTGCCATCAACTCTCACCTGTATTCTCAGTAGCCTCCTTGCTTGGTTTCCCAGCATCACCCTTAATACCCAACAATTTGCTCTCAACCACAGTAGCCAAAGTTAGGTCATATAGCACTCCCTTGTTCAAAACTCTCAGATCTCCTCAACTTACGTAGAATAGAAGATGAAGTTGTTAAAGCACTCAGAAGGCCCTGTACTAATTGTCCCTTTTTCCTCTGTGCCCACACTCTCTCCCCATAAACTTACTCCAGTCCCCATCACTCAGTCTCCCCATCACTCACTCACTCCCTATCACTCACTGGATTCATTAGACTTACTATGTTGCCAGATGCCCTCTTACCTCAGGAACTTTGCACTTGCTGGTCCCTGTGCCTGGAAAACTCTTCTGTCATTTTGTCCTTGTTTTGTTTTCTCACTTTTCATTAAGTCCGTCCCTACCTTCAGAGATCAACATATTGAAAATTGAAACTCCATACCCATTTCCTACTGCTTCCCCTGACTTTTCTCTTCAGTTCTTATCATCAAACCAGTGTACCAAAGGTTTTGTTAATTTTTTCTAATGTCTCTTCCCTCAGTAGAACATAAGTCTCATAAGTGCATGGAATGTTTTATATTTGGTTGTTGCTTTATCTTTATCACTTAGAATAATGTCAGGACTATAATGAGTCAATAAATATTTCACCTGAATGGATTTCTGCTATATGATCTGATTTATTTTCCTCACTCTGTCTTAGAGTTTGTCAAGCTATGATGTCTGTAGCATCCTGCTTGGGACTTCTACCCTGCTTGTGTGGCTTGGAGTCATCCGATACCTTGGGTTCTTTCAGAAGTACAATGTAAGGAATTCCATAGATCTCTATGCTGCTAGTATTTCTCTCTCAGTTATTGCACTGCTTAACTGAAGGCCATAGGAATTCTAACGACCTCTCTTCCTTCCACAGCTCCTTATTCTGACCCTTCAGGCAGCACTGCCGAATGTCATCAGGTTCTGCTGCTGTGCGGCTATGATTTATTTAGGCTATTGCTTCTGTGGATGGATTGTCCTGGGTCCTTATCACGATAAGGTACTGGGAAGCTCTCCCCCCTGTTATTCTAAGGCCTTAGAATAGTGCCAGGAGTTTGTTATACTTTTATTAAAAATGTTTTTTTTAGAATATTTGTATTGTGGCAAGTATATGAATAGATAACAAAACATTTGCCATTCCAACATTTTTACATGTCTTAAGTCAGTGGCATTAATTACATTTAACATGTTGTGCAAACAAGCATCACCACTATCAGTTCCAGAGTTTTCCATGGAGCAGTTCTTTTTAGATGAACTCCTGTTACTCTGTGATGTTGCAAGTCGTGTATCTCTTGTCATCTTTATAAACAATTGATACATTGAATCATCTCAAATCCTTTGGGGGGAATATGTCAGATAATTAAATGCTTTTTATCACCAGCAAAATCATCTTTAGTCAACTCGATTCATGGGTATATTGTTGTTATGGCTAGTTGCTGTGAGTCAGCTCTGGCTCACAGCGACCTTACGTGTAACAGAACAGAATGGTGCATGGTCCGTTCCAGCTTCATCATCACTGGTACGTTTGAGTTCATTGTTGTAGCTCTGGTGTCAATCATCTCATGAAGGGTTTCCCTTGTTTTCACTGACACTCTTTCTAGCAAACATGATGTGCTTTTCTACCAATTGGTCTTCCCTCGCTTCTAAGGGACATTCTGGTTCTATTTCTTTTAAGATTGTCTTGTTCATGCTTCTGGAAGTCCACAGTATATTCAATATTCTTTGCCAGTTCAACTGTACATTATAGAAGATTTATATTGGCTAATTTTAAAAAGTAGATCACCAGGTTTTTCTTCCTAGTCTATCATAGTCTGAAAGTTACACTGAAACCTGTCCCATGAGTGATCCTGCTGATGTGTGAAACACCAATGGCATCGCTTCTAGCATCACAGCAACACACAAGCCACCTGACAGAAGGGTGATGCTCTCTGTATACCAGAGCAGACTGTCTAAATGTTGTTATTGCTATGTTCTGTCGAGTCAGCTCCAACTTACAATGACCCTGTGTATGGTTTCTGAGACTTTAAATCTTAGTGGGAGCAGAAAAGCTCATCTTTCTCCTGAGGAGCAGCTGGTGGGCTCTAAAACTGCGGACTTTGTGATTTGCAGTCCAGTGCTTGTGGTGTGGAGCCACTGTGCTCCCCAGGCTATTTGGATACGCCTTCTCAACATGTGACCTTGTAAAAAGTAATATAGGGAGAAGCACAGATAATATTTGATTTTTTTTTTTCTTAAATAGAACTATAATCTCAAAACAGGATCCCTGGTGGTATGATGGTTAAAGCTCTCATCTGCTAACCAAAAAGTCAGTGTTTCAAACCCACCAACTGCTCCTTGAGAGAGAGAAAGATGTGTCGGGCTATTTCTATAAAGATTTGTAGCCTTGGAACTCTATGGGACAGTTCTACTCTGTCCAATAGGCTCATGATGAATCAAAATCAATTCTCTGGCAGTGAGTTTAGCTTTTCTTTCTTTTGCTTTTTATAATCTCAAATAGGGGACATTGGTCAGGCAAGTTTTAGGACTCTTGTCTTCCACATGAGAGACGTGGGGTTCAGTTCCAAGCCAATGCACCTCATGTGTCGTCACTGCTGGACATCAGGGGACGTTGGTATGTTGCTGTGATGCTGACCAGGTTTCAGTGGCACTTCCAGACTACGATGGCCTCCTAGGATAAAAGACCTGGTCATCTACACCTGAAAATCAGTTCATGAAAACCCTCTGGATCTAGTGCTCTGATAGGCAACTGATCATGTTGATATTGCAGGCTCAGGCAGCATTTTGTTCTGAATTTTGTACATGGGACCACCGTCGACTCAGTGACAGCTGATAACACTGGTCTCAAATATGTTGTGGTTGTTAAGGACCGTCGAGTTGTTCCCAACTCATAGTGACCCTGCATAGGGTTTCCAAGGAGCGACTGGTGAGTTTGAACCGCTGACCCTGTGATTCAAACTAACCTTGTGGTTCAGTGCTTATCCTACACCAGGACTTCAGTCTCAAATATACCACTTCCTTGAAAGAAACAGAATTTCAAATGAGAAGTATGGACATGCACTTCTGGTATACCTTGTTGGTACTTGAGTATCTCTGCTGAAACATTTCAAAGATCTTTTTTTCTGAAGTCAAAGGGCAGGAAGAAGACAAATCAGAAAGACACAAAGGGTACAGGCTGGCCTTCTTTTTAAAAAGAGCATCAAGAAGGTGCTGCTTGTCCCAAGAAAACCATTATATGTGTCATGTATCTGAAAAGCAAATGCTTATGGTTTTCTCAGTTAGTCATTTGAAAGGGGTAACTTGGGATATTGGGTTCCATTATTTTAAATATTGTTCCATGAACAAAGTCTCTAACAGGAAGGAACATGGATTAAAAGGATTTTTTTTCTCTTTTCTTTTTCCAGTTTCGTTCTCTGAACATGGTCTCTGAGTGCCTTTTCTCTCTGATAAATGGAGATGACATGTTTGCCACATTTGCAAAAATGCAGCAAAAAAGTTACTTGGTCTGGGTGTTTAGCAGAATCTACCTCTACACATTCATCAGCCTCTTTATATACATGATTTTAAGCCTTTTCATTGCACTAATTACTGATACATATGAAACAATTAAGGTATGTTTGTTTTTTTATCTAAATAATCTTTGTTTAGCATGCCAATAGTTTATTCTGCTAATGAATTGGTATTTAGAGTTATCAAAAACATTGTCACTTTTAAAGAGAAATGCTTCTGGGTGTGTACATTGTTGTTGTTAAGTTACACCGAGTCATTTCCAACTCAAAGTGACTTTGTGTAGGGTTTCGGAGGAAGGGTTGGTGAATTTGAACCACCAACCTTGCGGCTAAAACCAACCTTTCAGTCCAGTGTTTAGCCTACACCACACCAGGATTCTATAAGGTGGGTTTATTTAGAGCTAAAAGTAGCAGCATTCTTTCAGAACTTCTATTGGTTGCGTGGTTGGTTGGTTGGTTAAGTGCTGTTGAGTCATTTCCGACTTAGCGACCTTGTTTAGGATTTCCGAGGAGCCGCTGGTGGATTTAACTGCCAACTTTTTGGTTAGCAGTCTTCTCCTACAGCACCACACTAGGACTCCAGAACTTGTATGTTGTTGTTGTTAAGTGCTGTTGAGTCAGATTCGACACATAGTGACCCTGTAGAGGATTTCCAAGGAGTGGCTGGTGGGTTTGAACTGCCGACCTTTTGATTCGCACCACTCCACGAGTCTAGAACTTGTATAGTGGCAGTAAAATTTAGTATCCACTAGGGGAAGAAATTGATGGAATATTAAAGTCTTTGGGGTGAAGATTGAGAAACAATAAACTAAGGAGAAATCGAATTTCTAGGATGTTGAAAGTTTGGTCTCTAAGTAATTGTGCACATTCAAGCATGCTTTTAAACCATTTATTAGAATTATATGAGTCAATAGACATTGGGTGAGTAAAACAGTTGGCGTTTCAGTTCCCTAAATTTGTGTGGGGAATTTTTAAAAGGTAACTGTCAGAAAGACACATGTGCTTCTTCATTTGGAGCTGTTATGAAACCCTGTGTAGGGTCACTATGAGTCGGAACTGACTCCACAGTACTTAACAACAACATGAGGGAACCCATTCATCTTTGTGGGGTCCTGCATGGTACAACACCAAGGGGCCCAACCTCTACAATAATAAAAAGATTAATATGCTTGTATGGAAAGTACTTGCCATGTATCCTTTCTACACTTAGAAAGCTGATTGGAAAAGCTATTGCCATTTATATTGTCACTCAATATGAGTTCTTTTAAAACTCAGTGTGAGCCCCTTAAAATATGGCAAGGCAGAATAACTATCTCTATAGATTTAAGTTTCTAATAACTGTACACTGTTAGATGTGGTATTGGCATATTGAGGATTTTTCTTTCTGCATATGAGTGGAGAAATAAAACATGGCACTATGTGATTGGTTCCAGGGATAAAGAGAAGGCAGTAGTTTAGAATGAATTGTTGTTGTTAAGTGCCATCCAGTTGGTACTGACTCACAGCAACCCTGTATAGGGTTTCCAAGGAGCAGCTGGTGAGCTTGAACCACTGACCTTGCAGCTCAAACGACTTTGCAGTATGACACATTTAGCCCACTGCGCCACAACAGGACTCCAGCTGGTAATTACGAATACCTTATTTGTGAAGCCAGAGTGTTGGCTTCATTCTGTTGAACTAGATATCAGAGACTAGCTGTTGCCCTCCCTCTCCTCAGTATTTGCCTGGCGATGTATGTTTCTTAATGTGCATAAATATGACACTAGCCATTCCTCCCAGTAACTGTTTCATTGGGTTCAGTAATCCATTGCAGTCATGGGATTTATTAAGGAAGTTAACAAGTTCTAATACAGGATAAGAAAATGCTCAGGGCACAGTTGATCCAGTCAGCTGCTCATAAGAACACACCATTCCACCATAAGCCTCAGACTGAAGGCTCTTGGCCTTAGTTTCATGGGTCAGCAAACCTAACTCCCCAACCTAAGTGCCTAGAGGAACCCCACTCTTCAAGCAAGCTTCCTGCCCAAAGTCGCTCAGCTTTACTAGCTGTGTGGACTGGGAAGCCTAATGCTCTGTCTTCCGCTCTGGTTCTTGGTTCTGCTGCCACTCCTCGGGTATCATAGCATTCTGTCTGTGAGTCAAGGAGGTTCAATGCACAGAGGTCTCAGGTTCTAAAGGATGTGTTCCACTCCAGGGTCTTTCTTCTCGATGGTAGTGAGATGGTTCTGAGATGGTTCATTTTAGACCCATGCTAGAGTTTCAAGTTTTTACAATTACAATGAACTCTGCTAACATCCACGGCTGAATTACATCATCCTATCTGTATATTTTCCCACCTTCTCTTATGCAGACCCACAGGACAGGAATGTCTGGTGGGAGTTACAGATTATGGCTAGAAGAAACATTAGATAATTCCCAATGAAACTTGCTCTCCAGCGTAGAGATGCTAGAGCAAATGGAAGAAATGAGAAGGTACAAGAGAGGAACAGAAAATTTCACAGGTCAGCTTGAGAAGACAAAGTCAAATATTACAACAAAATGTGCAAAGATCTGGAGTCAGAAAACCAAAAGGTTAGAAAATGCTTAGCATTTCGCAAGCTGGGGAAACTGAAGAAAA